GCAGTGGAATCGATTCTTAAACTATGAAAAGGCCATGGCATAGTACCCATAGTACGGGTTCTCTAGGAACCACAGGAATCCCAATGGATTCGTATGATAAATTTAAGTCGGACTTCTAATTAAATTTAGCCAGTAATTTCGAATTCGCTCACGAATAACTTAACTTTGAAGTCTGAAGTAGATAGATTTAAAACTAAGTCTTAGAAGAACGAACTGTATAGGCTTATGACTGAAATAGAACGATATAATGCCATACGTTTAATTAATTATTTAACTTTTGAACACTAACAAGATTGAAATACATTGAAGCACTCGTTCAATATAGCATTGTTGAGAAAATGAAAGTGGAGCCACTTAAATCTGCCATAATAAACACTTCATAAAGTAATATTTTTTTTTTACTTTAGATATTTGTTTTCACAGCGGCGTCCGTCTGTGTTTTTTGCTTCCCCTGACAAAACCGTCTTTCTAGAGATCCGAATACGTGAGCTGAATAACATTAAAAAGTGTAATTAACCTTGCGATATTGGCCGAGAAAAGTAATATATAGATAGTAGATTATACTGACCATATCATGATTACACCCCATAAACCTATTTACAGGCGATAATAAACGATAAGAAGACCATGAACGACTATCTAAATAATGGAATTATTTGTATTATTTATAGTATTATCTTAATGATTATTTACCTCTAATGCCATATCTTCAAAGCAGAACAAATGCTATGCTGAAGGCATTTCTTTTCTTTCTTTTTTTAAATCTTTTTTTATGATTGACGTTCGTGCTGCCACATTATAATAGGGTTAATTAACTGATTCAATGTCTTCAATAAGGGACAGCCAATTAGATGTGCTGTACCGCACCAGATGGTGAAATCAGCTATTCAGATGCGTTGCTATACGCAACATGGTGAGATATGATAAATTTCTTATGGATCAGCCATGCAGTTGTGTTACTTTTCACCATATGGTGACAACAGTACTATAAGGGGATCCGCCAATCAGATACACTTGAAATAAAACCACGTGAAGATTCAGTGATTGATCTGGGGTTTTTTTATCAGACGGTCACAACACATGGTGACGTCGATCAACCTTCAGCCAATCAGATGCAGTGTTCTACTGTTGTGACATTTATAGGGTCGATTTGAAGTTTAGCCAATCAGAACTGAGCTCAAAAACAAACAAAAAAACTTTTATCAAATCACCACACACACACACACACACACACACACACACACACATAAACACACACAAACCCCGGTAGTTTCAATGATAAACTTTAATAGGTTGTTATAGCCAAAGGCGATAGGCGAAAAGCGATAGAAGGTTTTTCCAAGATCCAAGAATAGCTTGAATGACCTGTGTTTCAGCTTTAATATTGACCTTAATATTGCAACTGAGACTTGTTCAATTTTACGTTCGTCTCTCGTCTCGAAATGAACAAATCGCCTATCGCCGGCTTTGGCGGTGACAACGTTTTGAAATAGGTGTATGCTAAGGTGTTTTTCCAACACTCAGCCTCCTTCCATATGACTTATAATTACTACTAACTGTATTTTGTAACGTGGCAATAAATCATGATTTCAAGGTCTGGTTCAATTGAATTCCAATTCAATCTTTTGCCTTTCACCTATTTTGTGATAGTCTATGTGGACGATTCTTGCCATGCCAACTTAGCTATTGTTGCACTGAGGGTGATCACGGCCAGGGTTTGTTGCATATAATTGACAAACTCCCTGCAGCTTGTTACGTTAAACATAGTTTTACAATAAAATTTTGTATACAAAGTCAATATAAGTCAAATTCAAGAACTGATAAATAATACATAAGCCTTTGATCCAATTGCTACGCCTCGTAATAAGCCTTTTCATAGTTTAAGAATCGATTCCACTGCGCATGCGATTTTATCCCGAATTTCTCACCTTCTTTTGTCTAAACCTTCTTTTGTTCTTAATTAAACAAAAGAAGGTGAGAAATTCGGGATAAAATCGCATGCGCAGTTGAATCGATTCTTAAACTATGAAAAGGCTTATTTTAAACCTCTTAGATCACAGTTCAAAGTGTGTTTATCAATTGCGGGTTACGTTGTTATCGCACTTTCCAATCTACTCCCGAAGACGCCGAATGGAAGACTGCCTATAGACTAGGTAAGTAAAATTATTTCTTTTATAGATGAAAAAAGTGAAATTCTGATCACTGGTTTTTTCAATGACTATCATATTTTTATGGTTTTAATGATATCCAAAACTTTTGTTATGATCAGATTTGACTGAAATGTAAAAGTTAATCGCTATAACTTGAAACTATCTTATGTACATAAAATAAGATTTTTCGGCTCAACAAATTTGATCCAAGACTTTAACTTTTTCTATACTGATCTTCCCCGTTCCTGTCTTGCTCTATCCGCTTGCACAAACACTTCTCAATTCTACAAAATCTATTACGTTAGAAAAAACTTGTTCTTCGTTACGAGAGCAGCACTTAATAGGCAGTGGCTTACACTTAAGCTTGTGGCCCTCTTTTCATGATCTATTTAGAATTTAGAAGTTGTTTCAATTGTGGAGGATGGAAACCGAAGAACCAGGAAAACTCCTCGAAGCACAGGAGAGAACCAACTAGCATATAGACGACCGCTCTCGCTCTTACACCACACAACTTCCGCGATTAAATGACGAAAAAATGTTTTTAATATAACTGTATCAGTTAAGGAAAGAAAATTAGATTGATTTTGTAAATATTTCGCAAAAGGAAAGCAATAAGAAAGAACGAAAGTAAACTAAATAAAGAAATACATGCAGTCTGCTTCATTTACTAGTTTATCTGAAGTATTGAATTCTTCGTAAGGAATATGAAAAAGCTGTTTTATTTAACGAAAAGATATCGACTACTTTTCAACTAAGTTCCTTTATTAGCATTTTTGAAAACGATCATCAATAATGTAGACTTGTGCGAGTCGTAAATAATGAATGAGGAAACTAAACGAAAAACTTCATCTTATTGTTAGAGGATATTGCTCACGGTAGCCTATGTACTCACCCCATGCAGGGAACCCAGTATGACGCTGGATACCGGATTCAAAGGGCTGAAAAAAATTTTTTTTTTAATCAGTCATAATAAGTTTTGTTTGGTTTCAGAAGATCAATCCTGGGAAATCATGTTAGTAATATCACTGCAAACAAAGTCAATAAAGTCCTTGGAATAATCAAATTTCAGTTGGAACTGCAAACATTTTCTCGATCGATATACGACTCGCTTCTTTAAGCTGATGTTACACGGGACGATTCGCAACGACGATTGTTCGCGATACGACTCGTCGACTTTTAATACATGCTACACGAGTCAACTTTTCGATTTCGAGTCAACGATTTTTAGCGATTTCAAAGCCGCCATCTAGTTTGTTGACATCGCCGTGCTTCCATGAGTAATGAGCTGCATTTTAGGTATGCGTTGCGCTAAAAATCGTTGTTGAAGCTGTTACACGAATCAATTGACATAAAATTCGCCATTCATCGTTGCGAGTCAAAGCTGAATCAAAAACTTGCAACGCGTTGCCGAATCCGAAAATCGTTGTAGATGGCACGTTACACGGCATAAATAGTTCTCTCAACGGTGTGTCGCGAAAAATCGTCGTTGCGAATCGTCCAGTTTAAAAATATAAATTAATATGTGGCTATGGGGTTCGAACCCACTGGCAGAAATTGGAGAAAAATTTCGATTCCATTGTGGCATACCCCCCAAGACATCATCCGTAGGGCTGATGCGTCGTATGGTCTTCGGACGACAATTGAGGCCTTCTGTCCTTGGGTGTACGAATTACGCAAGAATATGTTCTAGCCGGAGAACTGTCAGGGGAGAGACTAGTCGGTCTACAGCTAACCCCTTGCACTCCGTAACGCATGGAATCGGTTGAAAATTTGATGTTATAAAGTCTAGTCTATCTTGTGCATTGTTTTCGCGTCTATTGTTATGGTGATTCATCTGCGACTATTGTGCAGTGGGAAAAACTTGGGCTTCTCAAACACACTTTTTCGAGTCCGGTTAAGCAAAGTTAGCAACTGGATGGGTGACCTAAAACTAATACCTATGTAACTTTTTTGCAGTTTTTCTTATTTTGGGGGGGGGGCGAGAGGGACAAACTTTCATTCGGAGATTAAACTAAACTAAAACTCAGTCCTAATCGGCAGCAATTTGTGTGACATGCACCAACTCGTTTTATATTTGCAGCACTGAACTAGTTTAACATGTAGCAACTCGTCTAACATGCAGCAATTCGTTTCTTATTTGCAGCAACTCTTCTAAAATGAAGAAACTTGTCTATAACACGCAGCAACTTGTCTGTATAGCAACTCGTCTAACTTGCTGCATGTCTCTCATGGGCAGCAGTACTTTGACATAGTCCATAAGTACGTCGCTTTTTTTGCTTTGCCATTGAAGAAGGGCATTGTTTTTTATTCATTTTTTTAAAATTCATTTTTTAACTCGTATGATATTTTCCTACTCTCGACCGTGTACTCTCTGACTCTCAATCCCCGACCCTCGACCAAATTCCATGCCAGGTCGGTCATGTTCGTCTTACCGAATCAATTTATTTCGGATCACTTGATGACAGATCTTATGCGATGCCTTGAATTCCAAAGAAAGTGGATTCCGAATTCCAGTTTAATCTGGATTCCTGATTCCAAGTGTTTAATTCCGGATTCCAAGATTCCAAATTCCAGATTCCCTTACGTGGGGCGAGGTGTACCAAGAGTTTGTTTTTAACATAGTATTCCACTTCTGCTTCTTTGAAAGCTGTCAATCTAAGATATCTTGACGTGTAGAATCACTAAGTTATGATTGGCTAATCAAACAAGTACATTTCTAAACTTATAATCGGTATGGCAGTAAATATTCAGTAGAGTATATAATTTAAGAATCTTACATAACTAGAACTAAAGATAAACCAATGATAGCTAAGTAAAGTGGTAGAAACCCTATAGAGTGTGACCAAGGGCTACGAGTAATAGAGGAGGAGCTTCTAGTGTCGTGAGCATAGCAATTCTAATAGTTTAAACGTGTTTCAATGCTGAAATGGTATCGATATTGTTAAGAAGAAAAAAATCAATCCAAGTTTTCGGTTTCTAGGCGTTTACCTAAGAAAACACATTTTCTCTCTCATAACATTATTAGTTGCAACGCATTATGGCAGACGGCTTGAATTGGGTTCCCAATATTACTGACACATTGTTAGAAGATACCACTAGTAGGATTAGTTCATATTCGGCCTTTCTTAGCCCTTCATGATCTATTTAATAGAAGGCAAACTACCTTGGCTTGAAGATGATCTTGAATATATTCATATAGAAATATTATACGCTTAATGTCTGGTCGTGAGGGAAATAGTTAGATTTGTTTTCCGAAAGTCTAGATGTTTGACGAGGCGAAGCCGAGGGAAACATCGAGACTCGAGGGAAACAAAACTAATTTCCCGAGGGACCAGACATTAAGTGTTTTGTTATATAGCAATTGAGAAATATTGAGAAGTCAGTTTACGAAATAAGAACTTTATTTAGCAAGCTAAATGCATAAAAACTGACCATGATTTTACAAATACAACTCACATACGGTCTTTTATCATATATCCTGTATCTGCCCGGGCGCGCGCTGTTAAATAAACCTTTACGAAAATGGCGTGAGCAGGGCCTAACGGCTTTGTGCGAGAAGGGCCGTCCGTATCCGTACGGCCCTGCTCGAAACCTGCGACCGTATTTTCTTTCTTTTATTTTATTATTTTTCTTTTCGTGAGGGTCATATTATAAAAGCTTATTAACTGAGTTAGGTCGGGCCTAGTCTCCTTCGCATCCGTTTTTAGTGTCGGTCGTCACGCAACGCTCCCTCCCAAAGTTGCGTGACGACCGACACTAAAAACGGATGCGAGGGAGACTAGGTCGGGCCGCACTAAGAAGTATTTGGCTCTCGGTCATTTGTAAGGGTCTCGCTGCGCTCTGTCCGTACGGTATCACCTTAAGCCAAATATTTTCCCGTACGGCCTTCCCACTCAGTCAATAAGTACATAGTATTTCTCTACCAAAAAGCGAGGAGAGTAGCACCAGCTTTATTCGTATTTTCCGAATCCTTTTTCTCAATAAAAGTCTGCAATTTCTCTGTAGAAACACTGGAAAATCTCTATTGTTTTGATTCGAGCCCCATTTGTAATGAAAATTCAAGCAAAATATCTGCTCCCGCTTTGTCGTTTTTGATTGGTGCAAAACATCACGCCATCGCGATTTTCACGTTCTGATCACTTGCACTTGTTTATTTTCACGATTATTGTCAAATAGGTAACTTATTTCCCGTTCGGGACACATTTAGATTTAGCTAGTGTCACGTGGTCATCTTTCAAACAATGAGAGTTTTCGTTATATCGGAAAATTTCGTAGCTATATAGCAATGTTCAATTTTTTATTTATTTATTTTTTATTTTTTTATTTATTTTTTGCTTCAATACTGATGTCAGGTCACAATTTCTATCAAGTCTAGGGTTTGGATTCTTTAGGAGACCAACCAATGTAAATCGATTGAAACTACGCAAATAATGATCGGAAAGCGTCGATCACTCATCGATGGGCATCGAACACCAATCGGCAAATTTCGACCACCCATCAACTGCCACCGAACACCAATCGTCAAGCATCGATCATTCATCGACGAACATCGAGCAACAATCGACAAACGTCCACTACTCTTCCACGAGAATCGGACACCAATTGGCAGACATCGAGGCTTCATCGAAAATCAGCGAACACTGATCCATATCCATAAGTATTTTTGCTTCTTAGTTTTCCTTGGTGTTTTTGTCGAGCCCGGTTCGGCTGTGCTTCGTACGAGAATCTCGCGCCTTGGGATGTTTTTGAACCGACAAGGTAAGATTCACGTGACTTTTAAGTGTTTTGTACAACTGGTAGCCAATGCAAAGCGAGCAAGACAGGAGAAACGTGATCAATGCGCTTAGTTCTTGACTAACCTGGCTGCGGAATTTTAAATACGCTGTAGCTTTTGAATATTAGTAGCAGGTAGCCTATATATGACTAGTGCAGGTGTCAAGCTTAGACGATAAAAAATCGTATACGAGGTGTTCAATACTAGACTGGTATAAGGTAATTCCTAACTATGCCAATATTTCTATAAGCTAATGACGCAGACTGACAGTGGAAATGGTGGAAATGCCACCTATATTGCGCTCTTCAGAGGTTGTTGACACAGTTTACCATATGTGGTATTAGAGCTAGCAATTGAGAGAGAAAACCTAGATGAAAAATGTATACACCATTTACTTTACCTGACAGATCATGTCTTGCGGAATCACGTGGTAGCTGAACGTGACGTCACAGACGAGTTAAGTTGCACCATCGAGTGTGTTGCTGAACCAAGATGTCGATCTGTCAATTTTAAGAAACGAGTGACAAACGGCAGCAGTGGCGCCAAATGTCAGCTGAATAACGCCACAATGTTTTCAGCCAAAAAAGAAAACTATGAGAAAAATTTAGACTACAACTACGTATTTGACTCTGATGACGTAAGTGTTTAGTGCTCTTGTAACTTTCTTAATGGTAATCTCATAAACACCACAAGTATGTATTCTCTACTTTCTTTGTTCCAGATCCCTGTATCGTGCTCACAGATCAAGGCAACAGTTCCTTCATCCCAAAGTGGTTACTATTTCGTGAGAGGTTCCTCATCAAAATGTTCACTAAGACTCGTCTACTGCGACATGGAAAATGACGGTAAAAATGTTGACTCTTTGTTTCAGAAAATGGATTCATCATATACGTAACATCAATGATGATAATATTGGGTTTGAAGGAGGGTGGAAAGAGAATTGTATTTGCATAACATTAATGGTGATGACATTAGGTTTGAAGGAGGGTGAAAAGAGGATTGTATTTGTGTAACATTAATGGTGATGACATTGGGTTTGAAGGATGATGAAAAGAGGATTGTATTTGTGTAACATTAATGGTGATGACACTGAGTTTGAAGGAGGTTGGAAAGAGGATTGTATTTGTGTAACATTAACGGTGATGACATTGGGTTTCAGGGGGAGGATGGACGCTAGTGACCAGTGTTTCCAACACCAGCAACAACCACCTGCTGATAAACAGGGTGAACTGCCTGAACAGCACCTTGTGTGTGGAGTATACGACTACCAATATGCAGACAAGAAAGATGGCAGATGATGATATTAGAGCAATGGCTGGTATGGAAGGTAAAATGAATGTAAATACATATTTAATGAATGAGGAAGGAATAAACCAGGTAAAAAGGAAGCAATATTTTAAAATGGGCTTTTCTTTCTTCAGGTGTTTTTCGTGTTAACGTCCTGAAAGCGTCTCCCTTCAGGGTGTTTTTCAAGGTAGTGCATTATTTGTTTATTATTAAGTCATRTTGYTGTAAATTRATRKTCWCCCATTYGTGTAATGTCATGTWATRAAYCTATGGCRTACACACCTTGTATTATTTGTTTCAGATTCCTAGTGGATCACAACACTTTGCTTCATCATGCGATGGAAACAGGTAAATATATAGAACCTAGCTAGTATTTAGAATCAAAATGAATTTACCATAGCCCCCTCCCATGCATTTYTATTCCTCCATATCCTCCATTACTCACCATTATTTCTTCTCCTTATTCTTTCTCCTCTTCATTTATTGTAATACGTTCTAGTTGTAATTGTTTTTTGATGGAATGAAATGGAATGAATTGAAATGAAATGAAATGGAATGGAATAGAATGGAATGGAATGGAATGGAATGGAATGGAATGGAATGGAATGGAATGGAATGGAATGTTTCATAACAGCAGCAACTGTGGCTTTCGCCCTGACGTCAATGTCAAACAGTGTGTTTGATTCAAGTGGAGAGCAAATGTATGTTAAAAGAAGAAAATGCATCGCGGAATAAAAACAAAGTTTAGCAGTTTCTTAAAAAAGAAGACTAGAAAAATTCTGCGACAAAATATTTCAGTTTTATAGCCATGTTTGTTTGTTTTCAGCTGTCCAAGAATAGTCACATCCCATAATTTTCCTTACGTATGGGAGTCGAACTGCAAAGGAACCAGCATGGGATACGCTTTTGGTTTTAGTGGAATAGGAATGGAATGCTATCATGGTATGTATGCATGGATGCATGGATGCATGGATGCATGGATGCATGGATGCATGGATGCATGGA